CATGTACACACAAAAAAAACTGTGTAAAATCAACTATTTAATTGTTAAAACATAGGAAAAAAGTTAATTACACAAAAAAATAGTTGCTTTACTATTAAACAGTGGGACCATAAAAATTATACATAGAGTATCACTAACAGAGCAGCGATAAAGCATGTTAATAGTTTGTGAGTCGACCCATTTTTTTTGGAGGTGTCTCTGAAACGGTAGGCGGGAGGAAATGTTGATTATTTTATAAATTGCTGAAAATGAAAAACAATGTAGTTTTTATTGTTGCCGTGGGCGAGATTCGAACCTAGGACTTCCGCTTTCAATTACGTAAGGTATGTCCAAAAAAATGACTGTTTCATGACACAGCGTACACAATTAAAATATATGCCCCAACTTTCCGTGGATGTTTACCACGATTTCAGAAATCATTCTATCAGTTAATCAAATACAAACAAGAAAGCAAGCAAACTTCGGCAAGCCGAAGTTCATATACATATTCATATTCATATTTCAAAAACTAAAGACTCTTGAAAACGTTAAAATTATGATTTCACTTGCGTGAATGTTTAAAAAAATTGAAGCTATAATGATTTGCAGCTTAATTATTCGATAGTTCCTATGGCAGCTTTACGATTTTTCCTATGGGAGCTATATGCTATAGTCGTCAGATTTTGATGAAATTTAAACCATAATTCTGAAATATTTAACCATTACTATATCTCAAAGAACTAAAAAAAAATTAAAAAACACCAAAGTTATAATTTTTTTAAATTTATTTTTATGATTGTTCCTATGGGAGCTATATGCTATAGTCGTCCGATTTTGATGAAATTCAAACCATAATTTTGGTATGCTATAGTCATCAGATCCGGTTCGATCCGACTTATATACTACCTGCAATAGAAAGACAACTTTTGGGAAAGTTTCTTGCAGATAGCTTTAAAACCGAGAGACTAGTTTGCGTAGAAACGGACGGACAGACGGAGAGACGGACTTGGCTAGATTGACTCTCCTAGTGATGCTGATCAAGAATATATATACTTTATAGGGTCGGAGATGTCTCCTTCACTGCGTTGCAAACTTCTGACTGAAATCTCGTCTTGGGATTCCAACTTGCGTTGCTCAGATTTCTGGCCAAGCGCTGACGAACGAGCTAGCAAGCTGTGGCGATTGCCAGTTTTTATTTTTTAACAATTTTAAATGTAACTTTACTATAAAATTGGCACGGAGAAACAATAACAAAATACATAAGGAATATGAAAATATTTTTCTTTCTATTAATAGTAACGTTACTGTTAAATACGTCAGAAAAGCAACAACAAAATATTTAAATTGTCACATAGTCATGTAACAATTATTTAATGTTATTTATACGATTGATATATTATTGTTGTGTACACCCTTGGCCAAGAAATGAAAAACAAAATGCATAAATATTTTCCTATGTTAATTTTATTTGTACAACTTGTTCGTGTGTACGCACTTGGACTGAAAACCAACTACAAATACATGAAAACAAATATAATATTAAAGTAACTATTTTACTAAGTTGGCTTAACATATCAAATTTTTTTGTGTGTATTCCCAACCAACTGCTGTAAAACTAGAAACCGTTCACTGTTCAATTTGGTAGTAGTTTTTGTGAAACATTTAATAGGAACACAATGAATAACCTTTAATTTAATTAAATATAATTTTGTAATGTCAGTATCTACTGTTTTATTAATAGACTCCGGGTATCCGTTTAAAGCATAACATTTTTTATATTGTACAAAAACAAAGATTGCAAAAATGTACACCTCACAATCTACAACTTCCTCTGTTTGATTTTCAACTAAACAGTCATAAACAAAAGAAAAAAAGGTCATAAGGAGTAAACTTATTTTTTATATACAAGTTTTTCATACTTAAAAAGCCAAGCACGCAAATTACAATTTTTTGTTGTAAACTCCAGTCTTTGCGTTTTACTGCAGGAAAACAGCGTTTTTTTTATTTGTAAACAAGAAAGAAAAGTAACTTAGTATCCTTAATTATAGGACCGACAACCTCGGCAACGAAATTTTGTATAATTCTAAACGTTTATTTAGTCGAAAGAGGCTAAGTTGGTAAAGATTTAATCATATGTAAGCCATCTGTTACTTACCCAAAAGGTGTATTGACAATTTTGACAAGAGATTGCGCTTGGAATTGGAGCAATTGAAGTCCCTTTTTTTCCTCCTGCTTTTCACAGCAAAGTAAGTAAGTAGTCAAGTACCCAAATATATCAAAAGCCCAAATACTGAGACTGATTTTTCTACCTTTAAAAGAACTTGGAGGGTTTTGAGCGCATAGGCGTTTTATAGTTGTTTTAGTCGATTGGTAGTCAAGAGTCATTTTGAGAACTAAACAATATCATTTTATTAGTTACTAAGCAAATTATAAGAGTGACCCAACATATTAAATTCCATACAAAAATTGAGGATGTTAATGCATTTTATCCTTATAGTGTCGCAACGAGTTGCTACCTTTTTTTTTGTGAGCAACTTCTTCAATAAAATAAAAGAAAAAGTTTTTGCCAACATATTAATAGTTGAGCCGACTACAGCTTCTCTTGCAAATCCTGATGCAGTCCTTTTTTCTTTGTATCGAATTTCAGAGCACGCCTTGAAGTGTTGCACGTTTTCGGTATTTTTTGGCTGCGCTTTCTTGTTGTTTTTTGTTCTCCCATTTCCTGTCGCTCTGACCGGTGTAATTAAAAAAGTTTTTCTCGACATTTGTTTGCCATGTGAGACCGAAAAAAATGTTTCATTTTGGTGTACTCTACTGCAAAAATTTTAAAGTGAAATACGAATTACAGACCGTGCTATGCCTAATTGAATTTTGTAGTACATATGGGACTTTTCATTATATATACATTAATATATATATATACAGGCTTAAAACAGTAAATGTTCTAGTATTTTATCCTTTAAAGCCGATACACGCGTGAGCGTTCGTTTATATTCTTTCAATAAGCTTCTTCATTTACATATAAAATGACAAAATATATGGATTATTATTGGCCAAAATTTCTACAAAAAGGAATGCAAAATTAACTGAGATTTGAAGAAGTGTGTGCGTGTGGAGAAACTTATTCTGCACGAATAATTTGAATAAAGCTCGAAATTATTAGCAAAACAAGAAAGAAAGCAAACTTCGGCAAGCCGAAGTTCATATACCCTTGCAGCTATTGCATGAATTAAATACTTTTGAAAATATTTAAATTATGATTTACTTGAGTATATGCTGAAAAACATTGAAACTATGATGATTTGCAGCTCAATTATAAGATAGTTATTTTATATATTTTTATTATTTCTATGGGAGCTATATGATATAGACGTCCGATTTTGATAAAATTTAAACCATAATTCTGAAATAATTAAACATTGCTATATGTCGAAGAACTAAACAAAAAATTAAAAAACAGAAAAGTTATAATTTTTTTTCATTTATTTTTCCGATTGTTCCTATGGGAGCTATATGCTATAGTCGTCCGATTTTGATGAAAATTAAAACATAATTCTGAAATACTTAACCATTACTATATCTCGAAGAACTAAACAAAAAATTAAAAAACAGCAAAATTATAATTTTTTTTCATTTATTTTTCCGATTGTTCCTATGGGAGCTATATGCTATAGTCGTCCGATTTTGATGAAATTTAAACCGTAAATCGGAAATATTTAACCATTACTAAATGTCGAAGAACTAAACAAAAAATTAAAAAACAGCAAAGTTATAATTTTTTTCATTTATTTTTCCGATTGTTCCTATGGGAGCTATATGCTATAGTCGTCCGATCCGGCTCGTTCCGACTTATATACTACCTGCAATAGAAAGACAACTTTTGGGAAAGTTTCATGCAGATAGCTTTAAAACTGAGAGACTAGTTTGCATATAAACGGACGGACAGACGGACAGACGGACAGACGGACAGACGGACAGACGGACAGACGGACATGGCTAGATCGACTCGCCTAGTGATGCTGATCAAGAATATATATACTTTATAGGGTCGGAGATGTCTCCTTCACTGCGTTGCAAACTTCTGACTGAAATTATAATACCCTCTGCAAGGGTATAATTACACTTTATTTGGGTGAATTTTATTATGCAATCGAGGCCAAACTTCTGAGTCAGTTAAGCTTTAAAGTGTTACTATTTACTGTTAAACCCTTGAAGAGACTATAATTCACGGCGGAGGTTTGGTGATGACCACACCCACTACCATCGATATAGTTTTGCAGCTAGAATTGTCTACTTCATCGAGTCGATCTAGTCTGTATAAGCGAAGAGATCTCTAAAGCTATAAAAGCTACAGATTTGTGATTTGACATGCAGATTTTAGTAATTCTTACGCAGGTGCTCAGAACATTTGTAATCGGATGGTGGATGAGCTCTGTGGATATCGGCGTGCCACATTTTTCAAAGATCCCAACTGTTTTTTATGGGTAGTCTAGACTTGGGAATGAGAGTGATATTTTGATGAAGTTTTACCAAAAAGCTTTATTTATATTGCAGGTATTACATAAGTTTAAGGTAGCCGGATCGGCCAACTATATCATAAAGCTTCCATAGAAATAAACATTGAATAAAAACAAATTAAATTAATAATAATTTAAAAAATAATAAAAATAAAAAACTTCGAAGTTTTTCAATTTATGTTAACATACTTAAACAAGATTTAAAGTTGGATTACTATCCCAGAATTTCGGTTTTATTTTTAAAAAAATAATATCAAGTATAAACAGCAATATCAAAGAGCTGCCTTAGCAACGATCATTGTAATTAAGGATATACACTCAGAAAAAAAATATTTTAAATATCAAAACATCAATATATTTATGTAATATATAAATATAATATGTTTGTTATAACTGCAATTGTATATCAAGTTCAGCTAGCTAAAGTTTGATTTCTGCCTTGTTTTTTATATCTCTCAAAATATATCACCTGCTTATAATGGTATTTTTCTTCAACATTTTCAGGCAACCTGCTTGTTATTTTGGTGGTCACATTATCGAGACGACTGCGCTCAATCACCAACTTTTTTTTGGCAAACTTGGCGTTTGCGGACTTCTGTGTGGGTCTCTTCTGTGTGATGCAGAACCTGTCCATCTATCTCATAGAGAGGTGAGTGAAAATTGAGGTAAAACAAGGTTTCTTCTTATTTAATTGTCATGCTCGATTGGAGCTAAACAATGCCAAAAAAGATACAGAATATCTCGCCCACTCTTTTATAAAGTTTTTTCTGGTATTCAGTTCTTGGTTTCTGTTCTTTTAAATATTAAATAAATACATTTTAAATAAAGAAAATCAATAGGAATAACTTGAAATTAATTAATATATATAAATATTTTTCTAAAAATGCATTTATTGAAAAATTGTGTCGCAGTAAACTCATAGAAATATTTTTCTTCTTTTTATAAAATCGCGCTGAAGCTATTAAAATTTTATAACTTTTTTACCCTTCCAGAGGGTATTATAATTTCAGTCAGAAGTTTGCAACGCAGTGAAGGAGACACTATAAAGTATATATATTCTTGATAAGCATCACTAGGCGAGTCGATCTAGCCATGTCCGCCTGTCCGTCCGTCTGTCCGTCTGCCGGTCCGTTTCTACGCAAACTAATCTCTCAGTTTTAAAGCTATCTGCATGAAACTTTCCCAAAAGTTGCATGTAGTATATAAGTCGGAACGAGCCGGATCGGACGACTATAGCATAGAGCTCCCATAGGAACAATCGAAAAAATAAATAAAAAAAATTCTTACTTTGCTGTTTCTTAATTTTTTTTTTAGTTCTTTGATATATAGTAGGGTTTAAATATTTCAGAATTACGGTTTAAATTTCATCAAAATCGGACGACTATAGCATAAAGCTCCCATAGGAACAATCGAAAAAGTTCTTCGTATAGTAATGGTTAAATATTTTAGAATTACGATTTAAATTTCATTAAAATCGAACAAATATATCATATAGCTTCCATACAAATAATAAAAATATAAAAATAACTATCTAATAATTGAGCTGCAAATAATCATAGCTTCAATGTTTTTCAAAATATACGCAAGTAAATCATATTTTTAGCTGCAAGGGTATATGAACTTCGGCTTACCGAAGTTTGCTTTCTTTCTTGTTTTTCTAAAATCTAGCGTGATTTTTAAAGTGTACGTGTAATTTTATTCGTTGACACACTTCCTAAATTCCAGGGAAAATCGCACTTAATTTGTTAGTGAATTAAGTCAAATATAACAAGAAAGAAAGCAAACTTCGGCAAGCCGAAGTTCATATACCCTTGCAGCTATTTCATGAATTAAATACTTTTGAAATATTTAAATTATGATTTACTTGAGTATATGCTGAAAAACATTGAAACTATGATGATTTGCAGCTCAATTATTAGATAGTTATTTTATATATTTTTATTATTTCTATGGGAGCTATATGATATAGACGTCCGATTTTGATAAAATTTAAACCATAATTCTGAAATAAATAAATAAAATGTTGAAGAACTAAACAAAAAATTAAAAAACAGAAAAGTTATAATTTTTTTTCATTTATTTTTCCGATTGTTCCTATGGGAGCTATATGATATAGTCGACCGATTTTGATGAAATTTAAAACGTAACTCTGAAATATTTAACCATTACTATATCTCGAAGAACTAAACAAAAAATTAAAAAGAAGCAAAGTTATAATTTTTTTTCATTTATTTTTCCGATTGTTCCTATGGGAGCTATATGCTATAGTCGTCCGATTTTTATGAAATTTAAACCGTAAATCGGAAATATTTTACCATAACTAAATGTCGAAGAACTAAACAAAAAATTAAAAAACAGCAAAGTTATAATTTTTTTTCATTTATTTTTCCGATTGTTCCTATGGGAGCTATATGCTATAGTCGTCCGATCCGGCTCGTTCCGACTTATATACTACCTGCAATAGAAAGACAACTTTTGAAAAAGTTTCATGCAGATAGCTTTAAAACTGAGAGACTAGTTTGCATATAAACGGACGGACAGACGGACAGACTGACAGACGGACAGACGGACGGACAGACGGACAGACGGACATGGCTAGATCGACTCTACTAGTGATGCTGATCAAGAATATATATACTTTATAGGGTCGGAGATGTCTCCTTCACTGCGTTGCAAACTTCTGACTGAAATTATAATACCCTCTGCAAGGGTATAAAAATAGAATTATTTTCTCAACTGAAAGAAGAATCGCGCTGCGTGCATTTTTGTATTATATATGTATGTATATATGTATCATATGTATGTATAAATTTAAAAAAAAAACTCCGAGAAAATAGACCAAATCATCCGGATTTTTTTTTCTAAAATTGGGGACATGTCTTGCTAATTTATAACATTAAACATCTTTAGGTATTATCACAGTTTAAAATACTCAGTCCATGGCATCTTGCATTGCGCTTATGGCTTGAAAATAAAAAGTTGTTCCTGTCTGACACAGCTTAAAAATACTAGATACATCGAAAAGAATGCAACACAAAATTATTCACTTTCAACCGTTAAGCATTTACATCAGCCGTTATAAACTGGAATATAAAACTCCATGTCACTTTCTCGAGAACCTTTTCCTTGAATCCCCGTCTTCAACTGAGCACGCCCAGTCTAATCATGTATATTTTCATTGCGATTCTTAGCTTTCATAGGAACAAAAAAAAAAGTACAAAACACAATCGGGAGGAAAACACAAAATTAATGCTTTAAATGTCGAACAATAAAATTTTAACATTTTCCAGATTTCAACAAAAAAAAAAAAAATATATTAAGCGATTTATTTATTGCTGTTTTAACAATAATTTGGTTAAAAAAGTATGTTGTTACAGAAAAGAAACTCATACGAATACAAGAAAAAACAAGAAGGAACGATATAGTTTAATGTCCCGATTATAAGATACCAGTGTTTTTTTAGACGCAATTTATGGTGGCGGATTAAGGGCCAAAAAAACGGTTACTCTCGTGCTTTTTTATTATTGCGGATAATGTTGTGACATTTCTTTTTTGTACACGTTGTATATTGTCATTTTAAGTACCTTAAGTACCTTTTTCCCGTGAGAAGTTGGTTTTAATGCAAAAAGTTTTTAAGCTTAAGCGTGTCGAATTGAAGCATATGAGTAAAAATCTACCAACCTAAAACTAAGAGGTCAAATTTTCGTGGCTTTTTTGGCTTTTTGGGTTCACAACAAAAAAAAATTCATTTGGGCCGGTTTTGAGAATTTTAAAGTTTTTCGGAAGTTAGAGGTGCTCAAAAAGTTCACTTTTATCATTTTATGTTTAAAAATTGCACTTATCATTATTTTTATTTAACAACTTCTTCAGCAATTACTGCTTAGATATGTGTCGTTGTTATAAAAAAATTATAATTTAAAAAAAAAAAAAATAAAAAATAATCTTTTTTCTTTTAAACACTTTTTTTTCGAATTGCTTTTCTGAGAGTGTGTTCTTATTAATCAAAATATTATTCTAATTTTAATTCTAATATTTAATAAAGCAAGTATTAGAAAATTAAAATACAGATAGTTCAAATTTAAATCAAAATATTTCACATTTGTTTAAATTAAACGACAAAATGTGTTTAAAAAATTCAATCGACAAAGTCCACCACAGATAAAAGTTTGGCTTTCCGGTGCATTTGGACTATCTGGTTTAAAAAGGACTCCCTACATTTTTTGGATCATTTTTACATTTTTTTATTTATCTCCACTTCTGCTTAATCAATTTCTGGCAAAAATGGCTTAATTAACTTCTTTAACAAGAAAGCCTTGGTTCGATTCATTAAAATTTAAAAAAATTGATCAATATTGGTCATTATAAAATGCACTCAACTCAATTTTGCCGCTTTATCTATGCCTAGAATACCTTATTATCGGCCTCACTTTAACGAGTGAACGGCACAATAACAAAATACTATGATCCGCTGCTAGCTTTGCACAAATACGATTTACTTAAGTAATTTTAGCAGAAAAGATAATAAAAAAGAAGAAAAATGCTTTGCGGCTCATAAAATACTAAAGACACATTAATGAAGCATTAGTTTCGCGGGTGTGTCATAAAATTTTATGTGGCGGGTCCTAAATTTGGCTCCGACACTTAGAAGGAAAACTGAGACTCCTTAAGTGGCAAAACTTTCTCCCATAAATAATTATTAATTCTACATCGTTTCTTCTTAAAGCTGGGTGTTTGGCGAGTTTCTGTGTCGCATGTACCAGTTTGTACACTCGCTGAGCTATACGGCATCGATTTTCATCTTGGTTGTCATCTGCATGGAGCGTTATTTCGCCATCGTGCATCCCATAACCTGCAAACAGATCTTAACTGCGGCCCGTCTAAGGGTAAGTTAACAATAATTTGTTAAATCAAGGTTTTTGAAAATTCAACGACAAGAAAGAACTTGGCTGAAGTTCCTTCCTAATAAAATATAAACTTTTATATGTGTGGTCTTTAAAACAGTTCCTCATATTTACCAAGTTATTACGGCGTTTGTTTTTTTATCCGTCCGTTTTTTTTTAATGTTCTCTAGTTTATTGATCTAAATAATTTTGAATTCAATGTCCTATTTATTTGATAACGGTATAACATTTTTGATACTATAAACAGGCTTATAAATTTAAATCGACAAAATCCTCCAGAGATCAAAACTTGGTTTTCATGTGCAGAATTTCTTGAATGGTCTAAGGTTTTTCAAAGAGTTCATAATGGTTTTACCACAAAAAAATACCTATTTATTTTTTATCTCTAATTGTGACGATTAAACCAATTTTGGTTATCGATTTGCATTTTGTATTTCGCGGAAAGAAAATTCCGTATAAAATCAATTTTTATGCGTTTATTTTTTAGGAATTATTTTATGGTGATATTTACTCTTAAACAAAATTGTACCGTACAACTTGTTTTGAGTGTCATTTTCTGAATAGGGGCGTCATACTGTTCCGAATAATCAAAGATTTTGTCGATTTGAATTTATAAGCCATTGTTATTTATTTAAATTTATAAAAATTTACTATTGATCTGGTATGCCTTCAACGGACAGAATTTGTGTTGTATTTGTGAGACATTTTTACAACTTTGATACCTTAATTTAAATATAATTTGCAAGCTAATGATACTAATTAAACCGATCCCAAAAAGGTATGCAAATTGGGCGACAATTAAGCCTCGAAAGGCTTAATAAGCCGTGGGCATAACATTGCGCCTGCAAAAACTTTTTCGGACTTAGGGAACTAACCCATCGTGATTGGCTGGAACCACATGCCCCAGTAGCCCGATTTCGGAGTGCCCCGCACACTGTTTGACCAAATATTCGTTTTAGTAATGACGATTGTCCTAATTAAACTACAAGGAACGTAAAGACAACAAAATGGGACATCCATTAGCATGCAAATTTTGTGTGTTCATCCTCAATTCAACAAATTGTTTGCGTGTTTGCCAGCAGAGCAGACAAAACAAAACGTCAATGCGTGTTTCTTGCAGATGGTTATTGTCACCGTTTGGATTACCTCGGCAGTCTACTCAACTCCCAAGTTTGTTTTTAGCAAGACCATTAAAAACATTCACACGCAGGACGGTCAGGAGGAGGAAATTTGTGTGCTGGACCGCGAGATGTTTAATTCGAAATTGTTGGACATGATTAACTTTGTGCTTCTCTACGTTATGCCGCTATTGGTGATGACGGTAAGTAAATCGAATTCAAAAATTTAAATTTCCTTTACTTATGCTAATGTTTGTAATACAACAATGCGACCCAAAGAAAATAGGCTGTTTAGCCGCCATCAAATTTGTACCGTTTAAATTGGGAAAAACTCTTTTACTTCAAATAAATCAAGCCATCTTCTGTTTATATATCAACATACATTTTTTTATTAACTTACGTAGGCTTACGATTTTTAATCGTCAAAATCATCAAGAGATTAAATTAAATCAAGTTTCCGGCGAATTGTTAAGATTTATAGTTGATTGCATGTATGTGTTTCTAGTAAGTACGAAACTTTTGCTGATTTATGTTTTAAGTTTTTATATTAAATATACGGCTCTGTTCTTGTTTTCACTTCCGAAAGATTCACACGGATTCCAATTTCCCAGACCTGGCCAAGTTTTAAATTCCGAAGGATTCACATGGAATCTAAATTCCCCCTGAATCAAAATGACAAGAATAGATTGGATTTCAAAAATAAAACTGTCATGTTTTAATTTATTTCTGTTTTTTGTTTGCCATTCGATATAGATATTTCCAAGAAATAAGCTTACATTGTGTCAAGAAATAGAATAATCATTTCAATTGTTTTTGAGGAGAAAGCTAACATATTTTGTACTGAAGAAAGCTTGACTTTGTCCAGAAATGCTCGAACAAGATTTTCGAGACATCGAAGCGAGAATGCAACCTGTCCTAGGAGATCGCGTGAATAATGAACCTAACGACGAACACATTTTGCGTTGCAGGTGCTATACAGCAAAATCGCCATTGCATTGTGGCGCAGTTCGAGGGGCCTCGCGCCGCATGTGGTGCAGCATCAGCAGCCGCAGCAGGCATCTTGCCAGGACAGCGGCATGGGCATGCACAACAGCATGTACCACCACCAGCACCACCACCACCACCAGCACCACCAGCTCCCAACCGCCGCATCGGCAGGATCTGGACCTCTGGCCGGAGTGGGAATGGGTGGCGCCGGCTCGTCACTCGCTTCCGGCGGCAGCAGCACCACGTCCTTGTCCCGAAAACAGAGCAGCAAATATGAGAAGCGCGGCGTCAGCATCACGGAGAGTCAGGTGAGTTCCCACGAAGAGAATGCCTTCCAAAAAATACTCAGCAATTATGGCAGGTTCAATCAGTAAGGAAAATTCCCGCATGTAAAAGCATAGCCATTTTAACATGTATGGTGGTAGAGAAAGTGGGTTCAAAGGCTCACGGTCATTAGCCCCGAAAAATCAATTTCGAACAAAAAATTATAGTCGGCTAGTTTCCGCTTGAAATCAAAATTCAAAGTAGGTATGTTTTGCTATAAAAATGGAATAGACTTACCCACATCTAGGTCATCTATGAACCGCGGCTATACAAAATTCACAATCTCAGCAACAATTCTTTGAGAACATTTTGGTGACTGAAAGGAGCGAAGATATGCTTTTAAATGGCTATTGTTGCCGTTAATCTGATTAAGTTTATTTTTCTAAATTAACTTCTATATACACTCGAAGAAAATATCCAGTACTTCGGCGCCAAATCAAGTACAAACGGTGTCAAAAAAATATTTTTCAAGTACGAATTATTCAATCCCGAAATTCAGAACTTGAGAACGAATGTTATCGGTCCAAGTACCCAAAAATGCTAGATTAAAGTAAGAAAGACCTTGGTTAGAGTACGATTCTTTATTCTTTATTGCATGCTTTATGCAAGTATGAAAGTTTCTTAATTTAAGTTGTGCAAGTGAACAACTTAAGTACACAGAAATGAATATTGTTCTTAATCTGGGAACAATTTTTTGTAAGCACATACAAATTTTTTTTTTCTCTGTCTCTTAGAAAAGCAAACCCATTAGGGATTCGAATCGAGGTCTTTGGATTCGCCGACGCATTAGCCGGTTGCGCCACACTGACATCATAGCCCGTATAAGAATTCAAAGGAATATGTTTGCAATCAAATAGCTTTTATTAGCTATACTTTTGAGGTCAACTAGATAACAAATTTAAATAAAAGCAGAATGTTACCAAAAAAACACATAAAAATCAAAAAAAAATATAAATTGATTAATTTGTCAAAGATTTGAACCCGGGATCTAAATAGGTTACCCAGTGTTTGGTGTTCTTTTTAAAAACGGAATTTATAATTTCAGTCAGATGTTTGCAAAATTATACAAATTTTAAAATTGATTTTAATAACCGAAAAAAAAATTTTAACTTAGACCATATTTAAATTAATTGAAATGGTAAGTAGTTGTATTGTTCTGACGATTGTGAATTTTATACGTCTTTCAAAACTAAGAACAAAAGTGGTTTTGGGAGAAAAAATTTAAAGATAGTTTTCATTGAAATTTATTGAAAAGCCTACGTGATTCGCGTGGCTACAACACGCAATTTTGAAATTCGTTTACTAGAGACCATGACCAACTGAAATAAATTGCAAAGCAACGAGAATTTTTTAGCGTTTTTTGAGGGTATTGCTGTCACATTGGTGACCGACATCCACTAACTTATTAGAAACAAAGTGGCCGGGCTGACAAAGCTCTCAGTCGGGAAAGTTTTTTCCCATGGATTTTAGTCTCGCAGTTTCGCTGGGCCAAGTTGCCCGGTCCTCCGAGCAGGTGCCAATTGCCATTAAGGCTATCGCTGACCTCGCCACAAAACTCAGATACTGGTGTGACAGATGGTGGAGTGAAGAAATAAACCACCTACAAAACTGCAAGTGAGTTGCAAAAGTTGTGGCAGAAATGCTTTTCCCGTTATTGGCGGCCGGACAGCAGGTACAATTGGTCAGCTTCACCACGGTTTTTTTTCTTATTTTCGAGTTTGACAGGAGCTTTAACTAGCAACTGTCACCCAGCGGTAAGCTTGATTGTTTTTAATCAGCATCAGACATGAACTAGGAATAACGACAAATAATCGAAATTTGAAACATAAATATATTTTGTTTTTGTTTTAATTGGATGTGTCGGCTTACCCCATAAATGCTAAATAGCCACAGTTTGAAAACTAAAAATTTTAAGTTTTAAACTGTAGTCAAGTTTTAACTTCCATCCATCTGTCAAGTATCACCATTAGTGAGCTTTCTTTAATGCGTTTCTAAAAAAGGTCGTCAAAAAAAGTATGCAAGTTTTTTGGCTGACCGCATATTCATGAGAAGAACACTATGATAAACTTTATTTATAACTTTTTTTTTCGCTATCTTTTAACTTATGTCCTTTCTCGCCCTTGACCCACAGATAACAGTGTAACTATCTTTCCGTTGAACTATTTTCTCTCTCTACATTTCGTTTTATCAATAATACTGTTTGCTCCCAACTCTCTTCTAACCCTTCCAATTTTAACAACCACACACAACAACACCACAAATTAGCTTGATAATTGCAAGGTAGGTTATAATCGAATATCAAATCGATTAGATAATGCTCTGCCCGGCTGCTGAGCCCACAAAGCTAATGCCCTTACACCTGTTAATCTGCACAGGTGTCCCTGGAGGCCGATCGTCCCATTGTTAGCGCCTGCCGCAAGACGAGCTTCTACCACCACTCCCACGCCCATCACCAGCGGTCGGGCACAGCCGCGGGGGGCGGTGGGGTCGGCGGGGGCGGGGCCGGAGCCACCCACATGTCCCACTCGTCCAGCAACGTCCTTCGGGCCCGGCGCGGCGTCGTCCGTATGCTAATAATATTCGTGCTGACATTCGCCCTCTGCAATCTGCCGTATCACGCCCGCAAAATGTGGCAGTACTGGTAAGTAGCCGTCCCACCAACACACACAGAACAAAAAACAAGTGTTAAATCAACCAAATCAAGCCTATACAAAATGGGTATTTGAAAAAAAGATTGATCTTCAAGTCTAGGCATTGTTATACCAAATAAGGATTTTTAAGAGGAACTCTTTAGACCTTAAATCGACATTCAAATGAAAACAAAATAAAATGAACTGCAAAAGCGGAACTTGAATTCACGTCCCAAGGTCCTTTTAAATAAAATAGGTAATCTACAATTCAAAATAACACTCATTAGCCAAAACAATTTTTGAAAATGTTTCTACTATAGTTAGAAAACTTTTCAAGAGGACCAAAATATATGACCCTAGTTTTTGCGTCATTGCATCTGGGGAAAAAGTGCGACTGAGTTGCGTATGTACATAGCTGACATCGTGTTTTTTTTTCAATATTTACTTGTTATTTGCCTATCATCTCTAAGAAAAACTAACAGCTAGCAAACGTAGGCTGGAGAATATAGATTTTAATTTAGTCATGTGTAGAAGACCAATTCATAACCCTTTTAAAGTGTTCAAACTCTTCAAGGCAGCCCTTGGAAGTACACATGGCGTACTGCATACATTTCGGGTAAAGAAATGTTTTAAGTAATTTCATAAATCATATTTATTAGCTATACTGTTGCTTTTCTAGCATTGAAAGTTTTCTTTACAAAATCAAAATAAACAACCGCCATTTTGCCTTATGCAGACGCACATTCTTGCGTAAACTGTAATTCTCTTCAAACGTGTGTAACGATGCTTTAAAACAAAAAAAAAAACAAATAAACAAAAATTACCATTATACTATTTTAGTTTTTGTAAATGGTAAAGTATTAATTTTAATATGTTTATATAACATATTATTTCTTTTCTGTGTGCCCAGTCCCAATCTCGTCCACCACTTTCATCAGTCCATGGGACGCCAACAATATTTGATGGCATAGTGCACTGGGAATTGACGGCCATTTGCATATTCGGCCGATAGGCGGGAAATTAACATCTGCGAGTGGACAGATAAGTCCGAGATGGCTTCCTGATGAAATCAAGACTGGCAAACAATTAAGTAATCAATTGGAATCCCCAACCTGCTTCGGGTCGAGGGTTGCCAATGGGCTAAATCGATTTAAAAACACTTTCTCTTTCCGATCCAATTTCGTTCTAAAGACGGATAATCCGCTTTCTTTGCCACTTTCAATGCGGACACCAACAAAAGTCCGACTTAACTTGCCCTTTGGCTGGCAGTTCCGCTTCCGGTGTGGCAATTTCAATTGGGCGGTTCGCTTTACTAGAACTGAATTGGGGCGTTTTGGCTTTCTAGGTTGGGGTAATTCGTGGGCGGTGAAAACTAGCTGGGCGTTGAAAACGTTGTTTGCAGTCGAGCAAAGAGCTAAATCGACGAGGAGTTAATTGGCGAAAGGGTTAAGATAAAAACTTGCTACACACTTTCGAGGATGGCTGCCCACGTAGTGACTGTCCCGAAGGAGAACTATATATATTACCAAAGATTATTCAATACAACCTAAAAAAATTGTATGTTTTGTTTAAACTTTAAAGCTTGTTAATGAAGAAGAGAGAGGAACGCACACAATACAAACTAAAATAAGATTCGTGCGCATATGCGGTCGTGCGTTTCCAACTTTTTCGTCAATTATAAATTTCTGATTCGCATCCGCGTCAGCGTTTCAGAGTCGCTAACAGAACACAACAAAGGGGAACGATAAAATGTTCCCAAAGAAGACAATCGGACTATAGCTGGCGCTATCTTCCGAACTGCATTGACAACACCCCAAGGAAAGAGCAGGAGATTATGCAGAGCAGCGGCAGACCACACACGAACTATAAAAACCGCTCTGGGCACATACACATTGACAAGTTTCCCCGTGCAAATTAGCCACACAAATTAAGTGCGAGCATTTCATAGTATGTGAACTCTCCGCTACTCTTCATTGCAAATAACTTCTAAAACAATGGTAGGATTTTGGTTCTACTGATAGATTTGGCCGATATATAAAGCCTAACAACTAAGGCCTTACATGTCATAGAGTGTTTTCTCGATTTGTGGGCGCAGCTGCGTTGTCAAACTCTAAATCACTAGCTTTTAATGGTTTCCAAGATCTTGACGGTCATACGGACGGACCGACAGAAATAGCTTGATTAACTCGGCTATTGATCCTCCTATCTGTGTTTTTAACGAATGCAATATACCCTTTTGCTCTTCGAGTAACGGGTATAAAGAACATTTAAGAAATCCGTCCGTGGTTGTAAAAGTTATGGCGTTCTTAAAGCGAAAAAACAAATTGAAAAAAGTTACAGTTTGGTTGAGTTCATAAGAAAAATGTTTTTTAATTTCAGTCAGAAGTTTGCAACGTAGTGAAGGAGACATTTGCGACCCTATAAAGTACATATATTCTTGATCAGCATCACTAGGAGAGTCGATCTATCCATGTCCGTCTGTCCGTTCGTCCCTTTCTACGCAAACAAGGTCTCAGTTAAAGCAATCTGCATGTTTACGAATAGGAACTTGTCTGTTTTGATTGTACACTGATAAAAATGTTTCAAACCTAGGGACTATAGAGATTCGAAGTATTTAATTTTTTCTTCAAGGCTGTTTTGATTGCTTACCGAATGGCGAATGACTTTTCTGCTGTAAAAAGTCAGTTACTTATTTGTTCAGGGAGCCTTCAGAATTTTATAATGTAAAAAATGTATCCTTAACCTGTTGCATTACTTCCAAAATCTTTACGTGCCTAACGCCCAATGTTCTAGAACTACTTAACTCATTGTAGGATCTATAAAAGGTTTTAATATTTTGTTAACACTAAACGTAAATTCGCCCCTTTCCCAGCATCGCTACCAATTGAAAATTCATTCATTAGGCGATTGCCGATATTTTTAATCTTAATCTTTATTTTTTGTCCGAATTTAAATGGAAGCGTCCTTCACTTTAGTCTGCAAAGAGTTTGGCCACCGGGTCCTGACGAGGTTCTAGGCTATGTGCTTAGATACTGCGCAAAGACCCTGTGCAGACCACTACACAAATTGATTTCCCTATTCCTAGAAATTATTTGTAAGGGATCTTTTGTAATTCCCCTTTATAAAAAGAGAAATAAATCAAATGCAAGCAATTATATATGTATGTCCAAGTTGTCTGCTACCCCCTAGCTTTTTGGAACTAATCATTCGATTAAAAAGGCTTCAGAATCAAACCGTGAATAACTCTCTTCTTGTACGGAAGGTATACATATTTTGGTTTCCTCTTCTAATTTGAATTTTAAGTTTTCTGAGAGGTTGGATACAACGAGTCCGCTTTCAAAGCTCTGTCTCTGAAATGACCCAATCTACTTCAGGCGTTCAGGCTTCAAGGAAGCCACCATGGCCACGATCTTCCTCTAGTCTTGACAAAGTCGCGTGCACTCAGGTAAGAGTGTTGATGACTTGTCGTCCTTCTGGACCCAAAAATGAAAAATTACTTCCATGGCGAATAAAGCCAGAGGAGTGCTTGGATTTAGAAAAAGGTGGGAAAACGAATTCGATGATTCCTATGTCACAAAGACTATTCAATTAATCAGTTTAGAGTCCCCAAAATGATGTGGAGAGTCCCGAGTTACAATTCTCAGTGCCAAATAGAATTGCTAGGAACTATGTTTCTCTTATTTTGGGTAGGAGCTATCTTGATTTCTTCAGTAATTAGTGGTTAAACATATTTTCTTGTTATAAAAAAAACGTTATAGGTATTTTATTTAAATTTGAGTTTCTTAAATATAAAAACCATTTGTTTGTAGTTGTTCTGGCTTGGCAACAGATTTCTCACCTATCAAAAAATGTTTAACTCATTTTTTTTAAACTTGATAAAAAATATGTGAATAATATTTATTTATGTAAAAAGTTTTTCTCATACAAAAGTTGAAAAAGCCGCTCAAACAAGGCGGCGGACCGCAAGTCATCGCAAGTGCTGCCGTGCGCATCTTAGTGCACTACAGAGTCTTTGGCGCAACTACATATATAAGGTAATCTCAACGCAAGTGCTGCTCTCGTTCTCGGCAGAGCTGAGGAGGTCACCTTGTATATACTGTGTTTATACGACGGCCATTTCATGAAATCATTTCCTGAAATGGGTATATTCTTGTGTGTATAAAAACCATTTCATGTATTCGCTTACACACTAAATTGTATTATGAAATCAGACCAAATGTATGAAATGGGGAGGCGCAGCCAACTTAACTTAAATAAGGTGACAACGACGTACGTAAAAGTAAACAACTAAAATTAAATTCTTTTCCCCCTTTTAAAGTCGTTTATTCTTTTTGTGTTTACTCGGTTTTAAAGCTAATTAGTTTTCGTGCTCGCTTTGGCCATGGTTAACAAGACTAACAATCAGCTAAAATAATAATACCAGCAGAGGTTCCAAACATGTTAATTAAGGTGGGACTCTGCCAATATCTGGAATCTCTGCTAATATTGTTTCATGCATTCGTCTGTATCGCATAAAGAGGGGCTATTTTGATAGATGAACTATTTAAGAATTCAATAATGTCTTAGCATAAACGAAGAAATATACAGACAGTTGGGGTGCTTTTAGTGTTGGCAATGCAGTCCAATAGATGGCACCACACAAACCCTGATTGTTGAGTGGGGGAACGTTAAATTTTTTGTCTTGAAAATTTGATGTTGTTCTAGATCTAAAAATTCATTTTATGAGTGTAACAAATTTTAAAACAGTACAATATTTTAGGGCAGCCAATTCTTCAAATAAATGAAAACTGAAATTTCAGGCAAGTAAACAACTCTTGCCGCCCAGACAAGCTACACAAAAATCTAAATTATGGCACCGTAGGGGAAGTGGGACTGCGGGTTGAATTGCATTCTCTTTGTATCTGGCAAGAAATCATACTATATATTTGCCCGCTACAAATTTTACATTTGTGCAAATTTAGTGTTTCAACTGCGGTAGCAAAGAGACATGCGTTTCAGCTATTTTTTCCGGAGACCGGGGTACAATTCGAATAGATTTTGGTGGCGTCGGCCAAAAGTGAAGTCTAGCAAATCAGCAGCAAAGTACTTAAATACACTTGGTAACACGATTTCAGCTTTGAAAATATTCGGTGTTGAGAGTGTGTTCTCACCCACATACATATGTATGTTACATCATATACCTGAAATCTGCCTGAATTATATTCATATTTTCACATTAACATTAACATTAAAACATTTTTATAACATTTTTGTTTGTTTATTTTACTTTAAAACTATTATTACACTACAAACAATTAAAACGATGCTCCCTAATTTAATTTATTAACAAATCCTACTAATATTCCCGGTTTTTATTCAGAATTATTGTGTTAAAAGCAAACTTCGGCAAGTCGAATTAATATAATTAATTAATATAATTAAAAGCGTATTTCTGAACTGTCATATTATTAATTAATCAAGAAGAATTAAAAAAAAAAATTACAAAGGAACAATTGGAAAAATGAATAAAAAAATTATAACTTTGCTGTTTTTTAATTTTATTTAGTTCCCCGACATATAGTAATATTTTAATATTTTAAAATTTCGGTTTTAATTTCATCAAAATCGGAAGACTATAACATAAAGCTCCCATAGAAACATAAAAAAAAAATAAATAAATGTTACTTTTTTATTTTGTAATATTTTTGTTTAATTATTTTTGACTTATTAATAATTTGATAGTCCAGAATTACGCTTTTAATTTTATTAAAATCGGAAAACAATATCATATAGCTGCCATAGGAACTATCGAATAATTGAGCTGCAAATCATCATAGCCTCAATGTTTTTAAAACATATACGCAAGTAAATCATAATTTAAATGCTTTCAAGGATATTTAATTTTTGCAATAGCTGCAAGGGAATATAAACTTCGGCTTGCCTTTCTTATTTGTATATTGTTTTCATGAAAGCTGAATTTAATTTAAAACGTAATTCTAAAATATTATTATTTGTCGAGGAACTAAACAAAATTAAAAAAACAGCAAAGTTATAATTTTTTTTTTCCGCTTGTTCGTATGGGAGCTACATGCTATAGGCGTCCGATCCGGCTCGTTCCGACTTATATACTACCTGTAATAGAAAGACAACTTTTAAGAAAGTTTCATGCAGATAGCTTTAAAACTGAGGGACTAGTTTGCGTAGAAACGTAGGGACAGAGGGGCGGACAGACGGACGGACGGACATGGCTAGATCCATGCTGATCAAGAATATATATCCTTTATAGCGTCGGAAATGTCTCCTTCACTGCGTTGCAAACTTCTGACTAAAATTGTAATACCCTGAGCAAGGTTATAAAATCGCAACGACGCAGCCCAAGTGTAAATAGTGTCTCAATGGTGATTTAAGACACTATTTGCGTTTGATGGACGACAAACATGCTGAGCCATTACCAAAAAAAAAAAACAGTTTTCTCTCGTCTGACCAGAGTATTGATGATTTCAAACTTCAATATCGCGACCACGTACTTTCGCGTCAAGCGGTTTAGTTTCCTGGGACTACTCCCATTTTGGTTATGAATTATGAATCGACGTCGACCATCACAGATCGACGGTGATTATTTTTGATGATGCAAGCGGCTTGATCACGACCTCGATTCTCTTCCTTCGTCTCATAGTGTATAGCATTGAAAACCATAGTGGGACTACATCCAACTACTTTTTCAATCTCTTTATAAGTTTTTCCATAATTTCTAGGGCCTGCAAGCAGATTTTGATTTCGACGGAAACGGTTTAAAGTTTCCCACTAAAAATAAAATAAATAATAATTGTGTTACGGAATATAGTTAATATAAGTATAAAGGATACTTCCTGATTGTGTCTTAGTCTTTTAAATTTGAATTGCATTTTTATTTTCGTGGTGTCCTTCCTTCAAATAGTAATATTTCAACTAATAGCCTATTTTGTGTCAATACGCAGAAAACCATTCTATTATGAATTTCTGCAGCTCATACTCTAGATTTCTTTCGATTGATTAATGTGGACGACTGGAAGGGTATTTATTGAATGATTATATGATAATATCGTTTCCATAAGATATACCCAAGCTGTTATTGCTACTCAAGGCGAATACTTCCAAGTAATTGCCACGCGTTTGCATTTCCTTCCAAATGTAACGAATAAGCTCAACAAGGTTCGGTGTCATGGTGAGCCACGTTTTCATTATTAGCTCTCAACTGACAGCAGTTGGCAAATGCGGCTCATTAGTCGACTCAGAACTGACAAGCGACCACGCAGAGTTGCCCTTAATTTTGAGCCCCCGAATCGGATTGGCATTGCAGTTTTTCCGGGAGCTGGTGCAAACCGTTGGCAAATGGCCACTTTAGGACTCCAGCAGCAGCAAAAATAAAGCGAAGGCCATCCGAGTGGACCAAACTGTTGGCCAACTCTTCTAGTGAACTGAGCCAACTGGAAGTGCAAGCCGAATTTTCAACGAGCAGCAACTGCAGGACAGTTGACAGTTGGTGCAAAGGGGGAAACGAGAAAAACACCTCTCTTCCTGCTTTAAATATTGTTTTGCATGAAAAGTTTCGGTCAAAGTTTATGTTGCATACTTGCAGGCGGCGAAAAACTTTGCCCTGGCCGAAATCCCCGCTCCATTAAGCAAGTTTTTGAGAGCCTTTTGCTCCCAGACGGCTAGGAAACAATACTACGCACAGCAGCTTAATCACCCGGGAATATTGAAGTGGACAAAAGTCAGCACCTTTTTCGGTACACTCACCTGCGATTACACACAAAAAATACTGGGTGCCACGAATGTCACAACCCGCAGCGCACGTTTCTTTTTTAATTCATTCCAAACTTTTATTAATGTAAAATCTTAGTAGTCTGGGCCCGTTTAATACATTTATAGATTTTTTTAAATAGTTAAGGGTCTTATGAGTATAGAAACAATTCAGAAACACATTCTACACATTGCACACATGTCCAGTAAACCGAGTGTTTGCCAACATTTAATAAAATAAGGTTCCGTTTTAAATTTACATGTATCCTATTTTATGCAATATTAATAAAAAATTACATAATCTGTTAAAATTAAGATAAAGACTTTGCTGATTGAACTGTTGGTAAAACCCTCGGCATCGATCAACATAACTAGTTCGAATTATAATATAGCTTAGCTTATTACTTATTTCTTAAAAATCAAATTTAATTTTAAGGAATTAGGAACTTTTCCCTAATTGAGTTTCCTCGGAAAATAAAGTTATTCCTTTAAAAATTAAGGTATATTAACTACCGATTTCGCTGATTTGGCGCGATTTTGCTTTAGTCTTTATCACTGTTTAAAGTATGGATTTAGCTGGAAGTCAAACAGTTTTATGATCAACCTTTCTAGTGTCTAGATTGCACAATTGTTATACCCGTTACTCGTAGAGTAAAAGGGCATATTGTAGTCCTTGAAAAGTATATAAATGTGTTTGTGTTTCCAACTCTATAAGTATATATAATCTTGATCAGCATCAAAGGCCGAGTAGGCACTAGTTTACCCCCTCATAAGTTCCTTTAAAGAGAAAGAAATGCCAGAACATTTTTAAAATCATAATATTAATTAATAAAGCGGTGTAAGAAAAGCCTTCAGCCGTTAAACGTATTGCATCAACGTCAAAGAGTAAACATAAGTAATACACAAAAATTCCAAAGACTATACTAGCTTAAAAAAATAAATCGATAAGTTTCCTTAGAGTTTCTTCTTCTGGTGGACTTTAATCACAAGATCGTAACAAGAAGTACACTCTAAAGTTTTGGTAGTTTTTTTGTTGTATCTTTTTTTATAATGAAAATAATGTTTTTTTTTTTTTTGGTTTTTATCTCTTGATTTTGTTCACCAAGGTCATATTTTAGTAGTAATATTATGTTTTCGCTCTTGAATATAGCTGGTTGTACTGATAAACTTACATTTTAAATTGTTTTTTTTTTAATCCTTGGTAAATCCCAATGCAAAGACATCCGTTTGGAGTGTTGAAACGGCCGAATACGAAACTTTTTATAAGTTAAAATAAGAAAAAAGTGGTTTTATTCAAAGACATTTTTTTTTTTCTGTGTGCCAGCTGGATATGGGCTATTGAATTAAAAGAGTAGCAGTACTTGGAAGACATTGAATTTAAGTGGATTCTAATTAAATATATATCACACTTTGCGAACCTTTAATCCTTCAACAGTTAATGGCGTACTTTTGGTCATGAATTCTTTAGGGATAGAACAAACTTGGAGCACCGAAAAGTTTTTCTACATGAATATAGTGGGAGTGGGAGTGGGAGAATTGAATTGGAATTACAAAATACTTTGGCCAGCCAAGTTTTACATCCGAGAATTGGAATCTGCTTTGGGACAGGCCACAGAACTCAGTGCAGTGTTTGTCCAACAGATGCTCATTTGCATACACGCTAAAACACACATTGTGCTGAGCATTAGGTATACGTATAAAGGCAGATAGTTATTTTCATGTATATGCATTTGCAGGTCACGTTCGTATCGCGGTGATTCCAATTTTAATGCGCTACTAACGCCGCTCACCTTTCTGGTCACGTACTTCAATTCGGGCGTAAATCCCCTTCTCTACGCCTTCCTCAGCCGCAATTTTCGGAAGGGCATGAAGGAGCTGCTGCTCTGCTCCTGGAAGAAGGGCAAGGGCAAGTCGTCCTCCAACTCCTCAATGCACCACAAGCGCAAGGCGCTGCAGGTAAGTGCAGTCCCCCCCCCCGCCCCCGGGGACATCATCTGGCCAAAGCCGCGAAAACAGCCCGCGTAAACAGGCCCCTTGCCTTCCAGACCCACTCGCTGCCCACGGACACCACGCACATCGGCAACGAGCAGCTATGATGGCCCGGCGGCTGGAGGAGGCCCCTCATGCTCTTCGGGCGGCGCTCCTAGGACCCAGCCCCAAGCACAGCCCATCGAAGGATGCACCCACTGGTGGGTCGTTAGGCGCTAGCTAGCTATTGTTTTCGATTGATTGTGATTGCGGAACGCCTTTTGCTCTGGTCGAATCGGCATCGAAGCGGAAGTATCTCCAGTCGGTGACAAGTTTTATTGATAGAGTAAGCCAATTTTTAAGCGAAAACAAAATAAAACCAATTTGCATGCTTGCTTCCTGGGGAGCATGGACGTCAACTTCTTAGTGTATATATATATGACGAAGTGTGAACCACTATGAACAAATAAAGAGAACAGCAAACATCATTACTGCGTGCAAATATTTACTGTTTCAGCATTCTTGCCTTTTGGCAACTCCGTTTTTCAGCTCTGTAGCTCAAACTCGCAGTATTTAAACAGCAAAAATCAATGGCTTGCGGGGCTTAAATTGCAATTTGACTGCCACCGAGTGCGTTTGCAATTTATTTGCTATCTCTTCATAGACCCGACTTGCCATATCTGATGACAAGGGCTCTATGGTCAGTCGGAAAACACGGTTCGTTGCGGCTGCCAAAAACAAAAAATATGACACACACAGAGGACGCCTGCATTAAATTTGGTCGAATTTTTGCTAAGCGCAGCATTTTATACCCCACTTGGGTTGTCAGACTCGTAAGTCAACTGAGGAAACGCTGCAGTAAATTCACGAGAGAAAACTCAATTACCAGGACGGTCTGACGTTGGCGCAAATTAAAAACCAAAAATCTTCACCAAATCTCTTGAAGCTCGTTGGTTGTTTTCGCCCTTTGTTGTTCTTCCCTACGCTTCCTTTTATCCATCGACCCTCTTTACACAAGCCTTTGTGATGCAAAGAGTGTTCCATAAACTGTGTCAAATAATATCTGGAAAAGGCCCTCAAAGAGGATGAGACCCGCCGTCGAGTGGGTCGTTTGAGTAGAAGGCTGCAGGTTTGCAATCCACGTTACATTTTTTTAATTAAGGGGCGTTTCCGGCTCTCCGCTTCAAAATAATACATTTAAGGGGGAGAAGCGTGGCATTTTTAAATTGTAGCGTAAAAATACCGTTTCTTGACACATGATACATATCTGCAAGCCTATATCTATGGTATAAATATCGACAGAAACAAACAAAAAAAACCAGAATGTAAAAAAAAATTAAAAAACAAACAAAACAAGCAAAAATTAGTTAATTAATGCGTAATGTAATATAATGTTTACTGATCCATCAGTGATCTGTGATTATATAGTTCTGCTGAATACGCCCATTGAAGTAGTATCAATTTTTTTAACATTAAAAAAACATCGTTTTTTACAAAATTATTAAAATTTTTATGGTTTTTCCATTACTAACAAACATGCCAGGAAAGAGCTTCTAAGGTAAGTTTTAAGACTACAACACAAATTTTTGAATTTTTTCGTATTGGCTAGCCTAAGGGCAACGAACAGCATATACACGTTTAGTTCATGTGTTGAGAAAAACATCGAAACGTACATTTTTGTGAACATCGATGTTTCTCCAGCTTTAGTTTTCGACCCAATAAAGTGTAAGCAACCCTTATGAAGATAAATAGACGAGTTGATCTAGTCATCATCATCATGCCCAAGCTGTCAATAATAATCGTCCCAACGAAAATTTATTTATTTTTTAATTATTTAAAATGATTTGTGATTACGTCTTATGAATGCATTACTTAATGTTTTGTGAATGTATTTTTTTTAGAATAAGAAGATACAAGGGAAATCTACAGCAAAACCGAGCAAAATCGGCGGGTGATTTTGTTAGTTAATTGATCAAAGAATTTAACTTGAAAGATATCACTCCATTTTCAAAAGGTTTACAAAGGTAAATCTAAAGCAACGTACCCCATTGCAAAAAAAATCATGATTTTTTAAAGTTTTTGTCAATATTTTATAAATTAGTAAGAAATCCAGGTATATTACATTTTTTACTTGACATTATAGTCCATTTCAATGACTTAGCGTGAATTTCGATCAGCTATGTATTCAACTCTTTTCAATGCTTTTTTTATTCAATTTTAATGAAATTTTATCTTTATAAATGTGCCAAAATAAATCGATTAAAAAGTTTTTTTTGAGATGTTGGAACAAAATAGTTTTATGTATATAAAATTTATTATTTTATTAAGTTTCTTAAAAATAAAGAAAATGGCCTTTTGGCCAAAACTCGGGCCCACTGGACCAATGTGCAATGGTGAAAAATATAAAACAAAAATTATAGCATTGCTGTTTTTAAATATATATTGTAATAGATTAATACTTCAGAATTACGGATTAAGTTTTACTAAAATCTGCTGACTATGGCAACTATCATAAGAAATTTGATAAACTTGGTTGTGTTCAAAGAAATACTACATTGGTGCGACTATAAAGATCTAATAAATCTCGGTGTGCTGAACACGTCCTCATAACCCTTAGTTTAAAACAAGAAAGAAAGCAAACTTCGGCAAGCCGAAGTTCATATACCCTTGCAGCTATCGCAAGAATTAAATATTTTTGAAAACATTAAAATTATGATTTACTTGCGTATATGTTTAAAAACATTGAAGCTATGACGATTTGCAGCTTAATTATTTGATTGTTCTTTTATATATTTTTATTATTTGTATGGGAGCTATATGATATAGCCGTCCGATTTTGATGAAATTTAAACCATAATTCTGAAATATTTAACCATTGCTATATGTCGAAGAACTAAACAAAAAATTAAAAAACAGCAAAGTTATAATTTTTTTTCAATTATTTTTCCGATTGTTCCTATGGGAGCTATATGCTATAGTCGTCCGATTTTGATGAAATTTAAACCATAATTCTGAAATATTTAACCATTGCTATATGTCGAAGAACTAAACAAAAAATTAAAAAACTTATTATAAGTTTGTTGTTTTTTAAATTTTTGTTTAAATTTAAATAACGGCCGAACTGAATTTTACTGCCTGAACCCATGATACCATACCCAAAACAGTCGACAGAAATTTTACATTTGAAAAAGAATGCAAACAAATTAAAAAACCTAGAAGTGCTTTGTTTGGTGGTGCCTAAAAGTAGGCTGTACCAGTTTTGTGAAATGCCAACAATATTCATGTAAATGTTAAAGCTCTTTTGGGCGCCATCAAATAATGAAATATTAGGTCTTTTGATGTGCTTGCATTTTTTTCAAATTTAACATTTTCAAAAACTGTCAACTGTTTTGAATATGAGGGTCCTTAGCCAAATAGTTGCACTATAGCTAAATGATCATAATTTTAGGCAGTAAAATTCTGTTCAGCCGTCATTTAGAATCAAAGTACCCGTAAAATCGTCCTTCCTGGCTCTTTGAGATAATTTTTCTTGAAAACTAAGGGGGAAGGAGAAACTCCAATGATGAGGTCGTGTTTAGCACACCTACACTTATAAGAACTATATAGTCTCACCAATGTATTTTTTAGGGTGTTGCACAGTGCTACTAGTGTTGTTATATATACATAAATTTTAACGTTAAGAATACTAACTCAATCATATTTATTATTTTTCCCCCATTTACTCTTGCAGAGGGTATTATTATTTCGGTCAGTCAGTTTGCTACGCAGTGAATGAGACATTTCCAAACCGAAAAAAAATGATCAGCATCACTAGGAGATTCGATCTAAAGTATATACGGTCACGATAAGACATGTTAGACCGCAGGTGTTGGACTATGTCAGTGTGCATCGATTGTATCTGTCGGTAGACATAATCATTTTCGAAACATTTATATTATTTTAAAAATCGAGATAATATTTTAGAAGTTATATGCCTCTGCTCGGCCGCTGCTCTGCCGGTAATCGCTGCAGCAGAAGGACAGAACATGAAATAACATTCTAATGTTGGCTATACGGAGTGACAGATGGCGTCACTTAAACTTTGATTGTTTTGTAGATGAAATACTTAGTTTGAAGTTGGTTGGCTGAGTAACGCGTATCTAATAGTCGGGAAAATCGCCTGTAGGATGCTCTCTAGTTTTTTCATAAGCCAATGTCGAATTTCTCCTGTAGATAAGCAAATTTAAAGTAAGCGGTTATGAAAAAAACGCCTTACATCCCGAAATAAAATTATTTAACTTTAGAAAACAATTTCTTAAAAATCCTTTTTTAAATAAACTTTTCCTAGATTTAGAAAATGTTTTCAATATTTTAGAAATATTTTATATTATAATAGCGTTGAGCACAAAAAATTTGAAACATCAGGTACATCTTCGGAAATATTGACCAATTACTTTACCGCGTACGCACTGCTAGTCAATGTCAATGCCATCAATTTAAATGCTCATAATAATTAAAGTCCTTTTTAAAAAACGCAAAAACACATTAGTCAAGCTAGACAGACAGATTAAAAGTCGTTTTAAACTACCACATAAGCTACTGGGAACTTTTTATCGAACTCGGAGCATAATTGATCGGAATCCGACCGACCCACCAGAAACAGATGCCGAGTAATTTATGCAATGCCTTTTTAATTAAAACGCCAGGCAGCTTAACTCATTGACACTAAACTTGCTATTCGAATATGTCAGCATAGTGGAGTGGAGTGGAGTGCAGTGGAGGGTTGGGTCTGGTAATTCATAATTTTCCTGGGCCAGTGGAAATTAATTTGCTTTGTTTTAGCCATTGACACAAGCTTGGAGCTGAAGCTGAAGCGTGGGACGGATTACGAGTAGTTGGGGTGAAAAATTGCGCCAGTCACCGAAGTCAAGTGCAACAAGGCCCCGGGCGACGAGGACAACAAGAAGGAGGATCTGGGGTGAACATGTGCTTGGGTGCGCCTGTGGGCGGCATGTCCACTAATCCGATTAGTTGAGCAAAAATAACATTTTGACCAGGGGACGGTGAAAAGCGTGTACAAATTTACCTAACGGCTTATGGCAATTAGTCGAACGAGTTACGGGATGAAACTTTTATTCGGCTTTGTGCGAGTTTCCGTTGCGTGGGTGATTAGACAAGCGACTATGGTCGAAGCTAAGCTATTTTTATTCGGCCCGCTCATAGTTCGGGTTTCAATCTTGCACAAACAAAACTTTGCCCATATCCCGGCCATTTAGGGAAGTTTACACTCAGCCACGACCAGCGGTCCTGTTGAAAGTTAAGTGCCAAGTTTCCTCAACAAGTGGATTGAATTTGACAGAACAACTTGGGATTCGGTTTGGACAAGTGCCGACAGCAGAGCCAACTTCGGCCCGCCTCACACACAGTGTGTGCTCTTGAAATTAATTTGAATGAAATATATTGAGTGTAATGCGAAAGACAAATAAAACTCACACAAACTTTTCATTTCACTCTTGGCCAAGAGTGATTGCATCTTGGCCGGCAGGCTGGACCGAGAACAAAGTAAATTCGTTTTACCTGATGGATCCGATGGATCTGCCGGCTGTCCGGTTCTGTTTGCCTGGTAAGGGGTTTTTTTTTATTTCGATTTCTTTATTTTTGTAGGAGTGAAGTCCACACGGGGGTCTCCAGCCAACCGCCTGCTCTGCAGTCAAGCCGATGTGCCACCTATTCTGAAGAGTGAACAGGCTCTCAGGAAATCGACCAGAAATCAGAGGCTGCCTCGGCCACTCTGCGTGCATTTGCATACGCAAGTCCCCAACTGAATATCTAAGTACCCGGCCCCCAAATGACAGACAGTTATCTCGATTGCAACAGCCTTTGAAGTTTTGCTGATATTTAAGTGCAGGCACTGCATCCTGGCATAGACACACAGACATACAGACCTACAGACATACAGACATGGCCGAGGAAAAACAAATTTCACTCTGCAAATTTTAAATTCGACTTATAAAGTGCTTAAGTTATTACGCTGGCCAGCGGAGCAGAGCAGATTGTTTAGCATTTCCGCTTCCGTGTGCACAGCTGGGGCACTGGGCATTTCGACTGGACTCGGTTTGCATTTTTTATGAGCTCTGCAATTCTGTTTGGGTACGATTCCCGGACTTAATGTTTGGCCAAATGAGCAGACAACGACTAAACAAACTCTCGGTCCTCCAATCTGGGCAGCGAAACCCTTTTCCAGCTATTGTTTTAGGACGCAGCAAACGGGATTTGATTGGGAAATTTGTTGATTTTTAATTTGACCCAAAAGCGACCTTTGCTTAATAAATTAGTTCAAAGGACTCACAGCCGACCAGGGCTCCATGCCCCCTCGGCAGATGGCAGTTCTCGAACACTCTTGCGTTGTGTGAAAGTCCTCCGATCATTATGTAAAGTAAGCTCATTTAAAGAGAAAAGCTTATGGCTCGCAAAAATTACGCATACGCCGCATAAATCATTCACCGTAAGCCGGCACCGGAACGGAGGACGAGAATCCGGACCCGTCCGGCGCTGAAACACAAAATGCGTGGCTGGCCGCCTTAATTGCGGCCTATTTATATGGCCGTTTGGCCATATACGTGATTAACTTGCTTTTAATGCAATTAAAATGCACGGCAGAGCGCAGCCAAACTCAACTTAAGCCAGGTGAGTGCCAATTCGTAGCCCCAAAGGGTTCCCCATGCAAATGAATTCAACAAAATGCGTTTCGGCTTACGTAATTGGTGCTTATATTATCATTACAATATCTTTTGGTTTATACACGAAAGTTGGCCACAAGCCTCCAGGTTCTTACTCTTACTGAAGCTTTAGTTGCGGGACTAAAGCACTAAGCTATAGACTCCTTTGATTTGGGATTGTTAGCAGATGGTTTCTTTGCCCTACTCTAAGCATACGTGTTCATTGTTAGGGTTACAAAAACTAGACTAATCTTAACTAATCTTAGGATTCATTGTTATCAGGCCTAATTTCTATTTACACTCCCCCTCCCAACGCTTAAGCTACAAATGCATCTTTGGTCCTCGCCCTCGGAGCTTACAAAGTGACGATCTTGATTGTTTACTATAAGGGGTGTTTTTGTAAGTGTAGTTTCCTCTCTGTGACGGCGCTAAGATTGACTTTTTTCCATCGCTAATTCAAGTGTCATGCCACAAGGCTGTGTCGAGCTCCACAGGCTTCCTCCTCTGAAGCACACATCGCTACAGGTAGACAAAGTGTCCAAGTCCCTTGGCCGGGTTGTTGTTGACCGCCTCCGCCGCGAGCTTGACCTTGGGGGCCTTGCCGTTGGGGTCCTTCGCCTCGACCTCCGCCACGGGCACCAGTCTGCCGTAGACGCCGGCGGCGGCGAAGCGGGCGTTCATGTGGATGTCCAGGAGCTTCTTGTCCTTGCCCAGCGAGGAGAACGAGTGCGAGGCGGTGCGGATCTCGCGGATGTTGTACACGGGGCTGTAGGCGCGAGCGGGGGAGACGGACACGTTGACCAGCGACCGGCGCAGGGTGCACTCCGTGGAGGTGTCCGAGGAGCCGGAGCTGCTGGCCCACTCGTCCTCGTCCTCGGCGCCCTCGCTGCTGCTCCGGCTGCTGCAGCTGCGCAGATCCTCGGGCAGTGAGACATCCGACTCCAGGGAGAGTTCCAGCAGACTGCCGGCATCCTCCGCCTCCGCCTGCCTCGTGGTCATGGCCTCATTCATGCTGGCCAGCAGCTGGCGCCGGCGGGCGTAGTGGGGCGTCCGGCGCACCAGGAAGTGGCACTCCTCGCCCCGCTTCACCCGTTCGGCCTGGGTGCGCAGCGGCAGGTCGTCCGGGTGCAGCTTGCGCTGGCACTCCTGGCCGGGACACACCTCGTAGAGTGAGAAGGCCTCGACGGGATCGGGGGAGCCGTAGCAGCCGAGCAGCAGGTGGAGCAGCTCGTCGCTGGTGGTCTCCTCGCTGATGACCAGCGACTTGTACTGGGAGCTGGGCTGCAGCGCCGCCGTGTGGACGCGGATCAGGCCGCCCGGCCTCAGCTGCAGGCAGAAGCGGGACTCGCCTTTGGGGTGGCAGGCCTGCAGGATGGCCGGCCGGGTGTCCTCGTCCAGCACCAGGACGGTCTTCACGCCAGCCCGGCGCACAGCTACCTCCATGGAGAGGTAGAAGAGCCTCGGGTCGCGGTGTCGCATCTTGAGGCTGTTTTCAAATGTAAATGAAAGTTTAAATTAGAGCCGCATCGAAACACGTATGTGGATGCTATTCGCTTACCGTCTGAGCAGCTGGGCAATCACCTCCTTGCTGGTGGTGTCCCACTGAATCCCAAGCGTCTTGTACTCGATGTCGATCTTCAGGCAGTTGGTGTACACCTTGATTGTGGTCTGCGGGCGAGAAAGTTTGCATGAGTTCGGGCTCTCGAGGAGCGAAGGGCGTGGGGGACTCACCTGCGGCATTTGCTCGTTGAGGCTGGAGTAACTGGAGGCCCGGGAGGGCGTCCTCTGCAGGTCCGAGGGCGGCTCCGGACTGCCGCACATGGAGCTGGCGCACGAGGAGGCGTGGCTGGAGGAGCGGAGGGACACCGAGTCGGAGCGGTTCCGCAGCGGCGAGATCTGCACGTGCTTCAGCATCTGTGAAGTGGAGGAGGGAAAACCGAATGCGGGTAAGTCGTGTGGTTTACAGAGGCCCCAACTTCTGTCCCATTCATTATGAATGCTTCCCGGAACCCTCCACGAGCACTTGCTACTCCAAATGAAGCTGCCACATCCGTTCTGTTTGGCAAACGGGTACACAGAGAATAAATTATATAGTACTTCGATGGTTTCAGTGATTACTTCCCATTTCAACTTATAGAATGAGTCCCGGACTCTAAGAAATGTTAATGGATAACTACAAATGCCTTTCCCTTGTGCTCTGTGTAGTTTTAAATGTGGGCTTCCCCGTCCTGTAAGTACTTCCCCGATGAATGCAGCCACTTTCAGCCGCCGGCGCAAATTGAAGCATGTAAATGAAGGGGAAGATATTGAGGAGAAGGGTCCTCAGCCGAAGCATCTCTCGAAGCGAACAACAAGGGGGAGCAGTGGGGTGCGGGGATGATGTATTGAAATTAATAAAGGGTTCGCAGTGTCGCAGCCCCCATCGCTGCGGTTTCCAGTCTCCAGTCTTCAGTGTTCATGGCGGTGACAATGAGCCGTGAATGGGAGAAGTAGGGCGTGCATCGGGGAAATTGCCGCCTAACGTTTGATTGAAGGCCGTACCTAGCCGTACCCCACTAAACATCCACGATTTCCCCCATGTCCAGATGTCCCTATCCAACCAGGCATCGCAATTCATTGGGGGCGTGCCGCACAGTGAGTTGATGCAACCGGAAGTTGGTGGGATCTAGGCAGCTCTACATCCGGTTTTGCAACCCGCATAGAGCTCTCTCCATTTGAATGGTATTCATATGTAGACCTACAGTGGCTCACAGCTCATTTGATGCCGAGGTCATTTCATAGTTTAAGTGCTGTATCTTGGAAACTAAAGCTAAGAAAATGTGGGTCCTAAGTTTAAACAACAAATGGGGTAAGTTCTTTTTGAGAATAAACTACATAATTCCTTTTTTTTTGAGGTCTGAAGCGGGGTCTTTGCATCTTAATTTGTATTATACAAGAGTAAGATAACTTTAAATGTATTTAAGAAGTAGAGAAGCGAAATCAGTCACTTATCACAAGGAACTTATGCTCTAAAAGTCTTCGTTGCGCTTCACATTACAAATTCACGTTATCATGGAGATATAGGTGACATTCGTTTTCGAAAAGGTTGGAGATTTCATAGAACTCAGAGATACCTCTATAATTGTTTGGTTCCCTTTTTACGAAAAGTTTTAGCAAGTGTTTGCTTATTTGTTAGGAGCTAATGGTTGAATATAATACTTAATCAAAAAAGATTTAGCCTCAAAAGCGGAGTTCTATATTTAGATTAAATCAAATTTATTTTGGGCTTCTAACTTGCATTGCTGTAGTCAAATATATATTACAATACAATATAGAGTATATAAGTGAGTATAGCTAGTCCGTATATTTTTCTCTATCGCTTATGTGGGCGTCTCGTTTTTATTGCTGAGCAAGCTTGTGGCAAAGATGTTCTTCCAGCTCAATCACTTGGATTGGTCTGGAGCCAAGCAGCATTTAATTAAAATGTATAAAGTTCGGGAATATGGCTGCGATGATTTCGAGCTCCCACACTATTCATTATAACCGGAATCCAAATGGCAGTCTCTGGAGCAATTGAACCGCAGCGAACCAGCATTAAATTTCCACGGTCGCTGGAGCGATGCAGGCTGCGTCAGTTGTGACTGTGAATCGCGACTGAGAGTTGTGACTGTCGGGGAACAGTGACGAGGGGAGAACAGTGACGGGGGGCGAGTGACGAGGGGCGAGTGGCGAGGGGCGAGGGGCGAGTGGAGAGGGGACCACTCAAGTGCGGCAGACTGCTGTTCCCGCAATTAGCGGCTAATGTTGCATAGTTTCCCGCCAAAATGGCACTCGGGTCACTGCGAAATTGAACCATCATCTATGTTATATCGCAAATACTTGGAAAATCCCAAACTGAGAAACTAAATTTGATAAGAGTAATTTGTAATCATGATGAATTTATATTGCTTCTTGGGTCTTTTTATAACGGATCTTGTTTCAGCGATAACTCGAAAGGCGGGCAGAGTAATAAACGAATTTGGGGTCACCGGAGAACACTTCAGTACCTCCCCATTGCAAAGCAACTAAATTAATTCCCACTCGAAGGAACCAAAGACAAATCGAATCAAGTTTTAAGCCAAGGATGGGAAAAATGACAGAAGGAAGCCAAGAAAATATATTTAATGTGAAATTGAATGAGAGTTTCGCATAAAATTGTATAGCCCTCTGGGCTGCGCGCATAAGTTGAAAGTAAAAGATGCGAGGAAAATTGGTTGCCCGGCGGGAAAGCAAAAAATGTTAATGGGATCTCGTGTGAGGTGACAAAGGCAGGAGGAGCAGCTATTTGCCATTTGAGTGGATGTTAGTGTAGGATTTACAGCCTTGACCTCTCATTGAGTTGCTTAGCCCTAGTTTTGACAGAGACACTATGCCCCAAACTTTTCCAATTATGCCATCGATGCCGGCGGCCCTTAAAGTGCTGGAAAAGTCGCATAAATTCCGCAGGGCAATACAACGTGGCCAGAGACACTGACAGAGCGAAACGGGGCAGTAAGTAAGTGGCAGTCAGACATTACAGAACTTACAACTGCTGGCAAGCAACAAAAGAGGCAATAAAAAGCATCTGCAGACGGGAGTCGGATACTGAAAGATGCTCAGAACTTGCGAGGAATGTTTTAATTTCAACTTCTCGGCGAGGAAATCGTAAGCGTTTCCCTCCAAGGAGATGACAGCATCACTCACGGTTGAGTCGAGCTCTATGGTTTCTGCGCGAAGAATTGTTTTCAAGTACTAACAGATTCGTTTATAACAAGTTTTGCCTGCAACTAAAAAAGGGGGCGACACGACTCATACACCATGCTAGAAATAACACTTCTCCTTTAACGTGCGATGGCTCACGCATTCATATCTAACTGCCGCCCCCAGTATGGCACGAAACACTAAGGCTTTTCAGTTTCAAGAGTCATAAAACTGCACCCTGACATTCAACAGAAATACATGTCCTTGAACTTGTTGCTGAAAAGCGCAAACTTTTTAGTTACCGATACATATCAGCGACCTTATCGGCACGGAAGAGGGGCTGTGTCCTTTATCATTTTCACACATTCGGAAGGCAAAACAAACAAAAAAGGATTATTGATTGAACTACCCCAGCTGCGAATGGAGCCAGAAAATACTTTCATGGCCAGCCGACTAGAAAAAGGGACCCAAAACACAGTTCGGCGACTAAAGAATTTTTCCCCCCAAGAACAAGGAAGATACTTTAAGTGCGAAAAGGCACGCTCAGGGGTTTTCCGAATAACTGGGCTGACGTGTCTGATAAGATTTGAATGCCCTCTTACGTGGGCTTTATAAATCAAAGACAGGAGCCAGGAGGTGGGATGGATGGGGTCCTGACAAACGGCAACAACCTCAAAGCATTTGCCAAATGTTGCCATCATCATTTCCGACGCCTTCGTTGTCCTCTCCTTTCTCCTGGCGGAGACAACAAATTTGAAGAAGATGAAAAATTACTGATGAACAACGCAGAGGCAACGGGGCAGAAAATGTTTGGCTGCAACACATGAGTCAATGTGTGTAAACACACATGTTTTCCCTCAACATTTTGATTAAGCATCGTATTTTTAAATGTTAATTACGGCATGAGAAATATTTTCCAGCCTTAGTACCTCGTTTAAGTCGTGCTAACCATTTCCGTTGGTGAGTTTATGCAAATTTATAAGCTCAGGCTCATTTGCAAATAAATATGTTGAAAACGAAATCAAGCCAGTGAATAAATGTGACAGCTCATGTAAATTGGTTGGACTCTGACTGAAAAATGACAGAAAACAATATTTAAATAACCTTGCTACACACTCTTAAAAATAATAGACTTCGACTTCAATTTGGGCAGATTTTAGACTAAGAAAAAAAGCTGTTTCAAGAACAGTTTGCCCATGAATATAGAAAGTCATTTATGGCGGAAGTGGCAAAAGATCCAATTTAATATTTATCAAAGGTTGAAAACGAAGGTAGTTTATTTTGAGTGTAGTTTTGAATCACATGTCGCATTTACATATACCATGTGTGCTTACTTGCATATTTAATGCACTTGCCACACGACGGGAAATTTGATTGAAGAGGCCACTGCATTCGCTGTTAAAGCTCATTGGCGTTTTTTCTTCAATTTAATTGATGAGATTGACGTGCAAAAGTCAATTAAGCTAACCGTTTTAATGGCGAGTGGCTTACTGAGAAAGACCCTTGTGATTGGACCCTTTTTGGATACATTGTTTGGGCCTATTTGCCTCGATACCCACCGAAGCGTTGCCATCTATTTTCAACTCTCTGGCTTCTTGCCGCTTTTATTTTTTCATTTACTTAGCTTATTCTTAGTTGAGTGATTTTCGGTGTTTCGCTTTACGGTTAATTTATGCGCAGCCTCTTTGGATTTTTTATTAGCGACTTTGCTTATATTTTAAGCTTTCCAAGCGAGTGTGGGCTAATAGCTTTATGGGAAACCGCTAAGTACAAAAGTTAAATGCTGAAACTGGGAAATTCTGGCTAAGTTATTGATATAGTTTTTCGTAGCCCAGCTTGCGGTTCAAACTTTAAATTGCGTCAGTTAAAATAACAAACGAAACGAAACACCCGCAAAACCTCCACCAGCCGTGAAAATTAATACAAACAACAAGGAACAAAAAACGTGTGGTCTAATTTCGTAGTGCCGTCATAAAATAAAAGCCCCACTAAATGTTCGGAAAAAATTAGTTTCTGTCTCACTAACATTTATTGTGCAGTACTTAGTACCCTGATCCTCCTCCTTAACAATTTTTGTTGCCTTCTGCTGTTTTTGTAAGCCGCTTAGCCGCCCAGTTTATCATGCCATTAAAAAGTGTTGCACAGTAGTAAAAGGAGCTGGGGCCGCGGAAGCGTCCAAAGTCAAACAACAGCATCGAAATTAAATTTCGCTCTAT